GGCCCCGGATACGCTTACGGTGTGCCGTGAATAATGGATGGCGACATTGTGCTGGGCTCTGCATTTATTAACGAGGCGGCGTTGTGTTGCAGCCCGCATGTTCGCCATCGGATGCAGCATGGGCCCGTTGATGCATTACTGGTACCTCTGGCTGGACGTGGTGTTTCCTGCGAGCGGCATTAAAGGAATCCGCGTCGTGCTGAAGAAAGTCCTGGTGGACCAGCTGGTGGCCTCGCCGACCCTGGGGGTCTGGTACTTCCTGGGTAATGCCTCGGCCTCGGCTCTCCTGCAACCGCCGGTAGCGGGGACTGGTCGCCTCCCTCCCCTCTCGGGGCTGCGGGGAGCCAGGCCACTTCTGCTCTCACTTGTGGGTTAACGGCCTGCACTTGGCTTTGCAGATAGGCAGGGACAGCCCTGCCCTGCCCTCCCTCACCCGCTTCCTCTTGGTGGTTGCACCGAGAGCCCCTGCATGGGCGCAGACGTGGCCAAAGGCAGCCCCCTCCTCCCCTGGAAGCGCCCGTCCCCATCCTGCAAAGCCCAGCTCAAGCTCGACTCAGCTTCTCCTGGCCACGGAGGGTTGAAGGGGAAGCCCCGAGCCATCAGGATCCCTGGCAGGCTGGGAGCAGGCCATAAAGACCCCACTGTCCCCTGGCCCATTGCAGCACTGCCCCTGGGAAGGTGATGCCCGACTGAACAGGAACCAGCCTGCTCCCCACACCAGGTCCCACTGCTCCCTCAGCCCTAACTGTCGTGTCCCGGTGCAGGGATGGGGGCGCTGGAAGGGCAGAGCTTGGAGGAGAGCTGGGCCGAGCTCCGGGAGAAGTTCTGGGAATTCTACAAGGTAAAGGGAGCCCGAGCCCTGCGCACCCGGCACCTCCCAACCCAACCTCCCCGCTCGTTACCTAACGCTGCTGGCTTGCTGTTCCCAGGCAGACTGGTGCGTGTGGCCAGCAGCTCAACTCGTTAACTTCCTGTTCCTGCCGCCCAAGTACCGGGTGGTCTACGTGAACGTGGTCACGCTGGGATGGGACGCGTATCTCTCCTACCTCAAGCACCGGGTGAGCAGTCCACGCTGTCCACACAGGCCTCCTTGTGCCCCACGCCGCCTCCCGCCATGCCTGGGAGATGCCCGTGGGGCAGGAAGGAGCTGGAGCCTTTGCTGTAACATCAGTCCATGCTGCAGCAAGGTCAGCCAGTCCTTTCTCCCTCGCTTGTAGCACCTGGAGCCAGCGGACACTGAGGATGAACCGAAGAGCCCCAGTGACACTCGGCCCCGCAGTGTGGGCCTCTGAAGGGTGAGGCGAGAGGCTGCACCCACGGCTCGGGACTCCCACCAGACCCCAAGACCAGGCCCAGATGGTCCCTGGGGAGGAGCTGGCTCCCTGGGCTGCGACAAGCATCTTGGTCCAACAAATCAACTTGCCTTCTGGAGACGGACCCGTGGTGCTGCCCTGTGCGGCGTGTGGGGGGAAAGCTGGGGGCTGGGCTCTGCAACATGCTCAGCCCTTGACCCGCAAACCTGCTCGTGATCCTTACCAGTCAACCGCGTCCCAACGCTGGCGTCGTTCCTCCTGCAGTGGAGCGAGCTGGGGCCTTGTGGGCATGCACCAATTCCTCTCCTGCCACCTGCTTCTCGTGGGGCCTCCCCGTGGGCAGGGAGCCCTGCTGCACCTGGCCTCCACTGACCTGCTGTGCTTCAGAGGCGGCTGGGGGGGCTCCGGGCCCTTCTGCTTCTCTCCCTTCACGCAGTCCTGCCCGGCCCCGGCAGAGCTCAGAACAGGCGACCTTGGCCTTCTCCACCCCCCCAGGCAGAGGGTCTCTGGCCTGTTCTCCCCGAGGTGCTCGGCCTGGCCCCTCACACGCACTCCTCTGGCTCTTGCCCCTCCTGTTACAAGCTTCCTCAACCCCTCTTGCCTCTGCAGCTGGGGCCCCACTGCGCTTCTCCCTTTCCCCTCCCGGCTCCAAGCCCCCTGCCCACAGCTCCTCTTCCAGACTCAGCCTTCTACCGTCCCACGTCCATTCTTCCGCTCCAGCGGAGCCCATGGCTGATGTCTGTACTCCTCTGGGGCAGGGCGGGGACCAGAGCTGCTTGCCCTCCACCTGGCCGCCCCCCCGACTCCGTGCCATCACATTCCTCCTGCCCTTGGGCCTGCCTGGCACCCTGCCAGCGTGTGGGTCTCACCCACCCCCAGGTCCAGCACCTGGTGTGCTGGGGTATCCTCCCCTGCTGCACCTTTCTCTGGAGGACGTTTCTTCTGTCATTCTCCTTGATGTGCCTCAAACACTGCTGCTACGGGCATCCATTGGCCCCTGGTCTTGCACACGGCAGGATGGGGATCGCCCCTGCACGTGCAGCACCTAGTGCAACAGCAGCGTGGGGACAAAAGCCACCTGTGCCCCCAAGGCCCGGGTGTAGTCTCCAGCTGAGCTGTGAGCCAGCTGTGTGGTCCCAAGTGTGGATGTCCCCGGCGCTGCTAGAACAAATCATCTCTCACTTTTCTAAAGATTAAACATGATTCTCACGACTTGCCTCAAGTGAATCCTTTCGAAAGCGTGACCGCATCCAGCGTGTCTCTGCCACCTCCCCCAGCATAGCTGCTGCTACGAGGAGGGCACGCTGCAGGGAGATGGGCCAGCAGGCCTGGCTGTGCTCAGCTTGAGTGCGGCAAGCAGCTCTGTCCCAACTTAGCGGGAAGGGAGCAAGGACCCACCTTCCTCCTCCCCTGCATGGGCCGCACACCAAGCTCAGAGGCTGAACAAGCAGGTTGCAGCGGGGCAGGAGGCCTGACCCCACCTCCCCACAGGTTCTGGCTGCAGGGGCAGGGATGGGACTGGCGGGGACCGACCCTACAGCCTGCCAGGTGGGCTTCCCCCTCCACCCACTGCTGCCCCTCCCTTCAGACCACGAGGCGGAGCACCTTGTGATCAGCATTGGTTTATTTCTTCACAACATCTCTCGTACAGCGAGTTTCAGGAAATTTGACTCTTTTGACACTTTTGACATTTTTACAGTACAGCGAAACTCTTCCAGATGAGTCAACGTCACAGAGAGGAGGAGGCTGGGCGGAGTGGCCACGTCGTTTCGTATCTGTAAAACAAAGACAGTGCTCCAAGAAAAATAAATAGGGGTGGGGGAGCCAGACAGGGTTGGTCATTGATACAGGTAGTTCCACGTAGTCACGGTCTCCACAGTAAGCACATCACTATATGGACACGCAGGGAGCAGCAGGGGCTGCAGCAACGCGCCAAGCCCGGCCGTGCACCAGCTCGGGTCACTGGCTCGGACGTCTGCGCGGAGACTGTCCACACTGCTGCGAGGCCGCGGCTCCGGCACCGGTTTGCTGTGGTGCTGCCACCGCCGCTGCCCTTGCTCGTCCTGCTCTTAAATAATAGATGCCAAAGTGGTTTTCACAAGCAGGTCACCACCACATCGCTAAAATAAATAAGTACAGCAGCACAGCCACGGCACAGCAGGGCACACGCACACGAGGGGCACGGCTACGTCTATGTACAGGGCGTCGTGTTTATGTACAAGGAGGAAGACAGCAGGAGCAGAAGTAGCCTCTATTTGTACAAATAAACAGGAGTCGTGAAATATGCATCGGTGACGGGCGGGACTGACAAGCCGGGGCGCTCTCCAGCCAGGCCGGGGCCGGATCCTCTGCCCTTCGCAGGACAAGCTGCGAGGGGGCAGGAGGACAGGGCTGCAACGCGTCTCCAGGGCACCGCTTGCACTCACGCCTCGTCGGGGTCGAACGCATCAAGCCAGCAAGGGCCGGCGGGAGTCGCGACCTCTCCCCCTCCCCGGCCCAGCCCCGTCCGCCACGGCTGCAGGGCACGAGGCAGGGCCAAGGCGCATGGCCTGCAGCCGGCTCCGGGCGCTCACCATGCGAGCGGCTGTTGGGAGCCCCCGCCATGCAGCAGCAGACATGCAGGGCAGAGGGGAGGGAGCTGACGCACAGACCGAGGGGAACATCCTCTCATTAGCAGCGGTATGCAATTAGTCTCACTGCTGCAGCACGGCAGCTGCGTGAGAAGGCAGGTCATGCTGGACCTTGCGTAGTGTCACAACAACACGTGGTGTCAGCTATAGTGTTAAGATGCTGCCCCTGCCCCTGCCCCCCTTTACCTGGAAGCCAGCCCAAACCCTCACTTCGGCACTGGCCGTTCTGCGCTGGCCCCCAAAGCCAGGGTTTTCTAGCTCATGGCCCGCTGGCTGGAGGCCTCACGCCCGCCAGTGCCAGGGGCAGGCAGATGCGACAGCCAGCAGCAGGGAGCACCTGGCTTTGGCGGTCCAGCGATGAGGAACACAGAGCCGGGGTCAGACAACAGCTACGAGCAAACAGAAGAGCTTTTTCCTACTGTCCCGGGGTGAGAGTGAGGTGGGGGGGCAGGGGCAGGGGTGACAGGGCGCAGCCGGGAGCCAGAGCGGCGCAGGCTTGGAGGGAGGACGCAGCCCTCCTAAAACCTGCGCAGCACGAGCCCCGGCCCGGTCACCTCGCCTCGGCCGGTCTCCAGGGGTTACCCAATAAAACTGATTGAACAGGGGCTAATTGGGAGCACAAGGGGCTGATCGAGGGCTCTGGGACGCGGAGGTGGTGACGGGTGAGGAGTGGGGGCCATGCTTGCGTCTAGCAGGCACAGTCCTGGTGCGGAGGGGCTTGCTGGTCCGTCAGCTGCGGCCCCTGCTTGGCCCCCGTCACGGCGGGATCCGCTGTGTCTAGGGACTCGGACATCTTCTCGCAGATGATGTCGACGAGCCGCTCGAACGTCTGCTTGACGTTGATGTTGTCCTTGGCGCTGGCCTCAAAGAACTCGAACCCTGGGCGGAGGGAGAGCGGTCCACGTGAGCCGGGGCCCCGGGGCAGCTGGCGTCTCCCCAAAAGCAGGCGGCTCGGGGGCTCCCGGCACAGGGGCAGGGGGAACAAGAGCAGCCGGTGAGCCCCAGGCAGTTATCTAGGTTACAGGGAGCCTAAAGCCACCCCAGAGCAGGGCAGGCCTCAGCGCGGCTCCCGCAGTCCTTGACCTTGGAGCCTGTGTGGTGTGGGCAGCTCCAGTGAGGGGGACGCTGGCAAAAGGCCTGACACCTTCGACAAGCATGGCACCCCAGGGCCCAGCACCCACACCGGAGCTGGGCAGCATGTAGGTGCCGGCTGCAGGGGAGGGTAGGGGGCTGGATAGGCTGTAGCACAGTAGAGATGTGCCCGGTGCTCTCCAACACGCACTGGCTCTTGGCTCTGGGACAGCAGGATGGCACGGGGGACAAGAGTGAGGCCTGGCACTGGCTCTTCGGTGTTGGTGCCGAGCCCTTGGCCTGGCTGCTTCCCTGCCGGGTGCTGCAGCCACTGGCCAGCCCGTCCCAGGCCCGGGGAGCAATGCATGGAGCAGCGTCCTGCCGTACACGTGTAGGGCGCTTGCGGGGCAGGGCCTTGCTACAAGCCCCCAATGCCCACCCAAGTCCAGCTAGGGTTTCTCTGCTTGTTCCCCTGCCCAGGTTTTCCACCCCACCTGCTCCGAGTTTTTTGCCACCGCACCTGGCAGGCGCCCAAGCCTGCTGTTACTGATCGCAATGGGAGCAGCCATCGACCCCACTGCTCACAGCATGGTGGTGACGCCACCTGGGGAACAGCACATCAGTGCTGCCACTTAGCGATGGACCCGTTGCAAGGAAACGGAGCCTGAAACTGCTCCACAGGAAGAGCTCTGCAGTCGCGTGTGCACACATGCATGTGGGCACAGACACGCTGCGACGTGCATGCAGCAGCCAGAGCCATAGACACACTCTCACTTCCCCTTGCAGGGGCAGGCCGCTCCAGAGCCTGTGCGATGCCCCTGCCCCTGCTGACTGCCCGCACGCGGCACGTTCCGGCTACCCCTTTTCAGCCCAGGGGCTCTGGCTGCATCTGCAACTGCTGAGCCAAGGCCAGGGAAGAAACACAGCCCCTATGTGCCCCTCACTGCAGCCGCAGTGCTGAGCTGGGCAGGATGGGCCCTTGAGGGCCCAGGGACTCACCCAGGTGCTCGGCCAGCTGGCGGCCACGCTCCGACGACACGACGCGCTCATCCTCCATGTCGCACTTGTTCCCCACCAGCAGCACCTGCGCGTTGTCCCACGAGTACGTCTTGATCTGGGTCGACCTGCGGGAGACAGAGCTACAGCCTCAGGGCAGGGGAGGGGCACCGCAAGGAGCCCCCAGCGGGCACTAGGCACAGGCCAGCAGGGACAGCCGTCACCCTCCACCGTGCCCCGCTCGCTGCAGCCCCCCTGGGACGGCCAGGGCTGCACGGAGGCTGCAAGCAGGGTGGGAGCAGAGGGAGTGTGCTTGGAGAGGAGAGGAGAGGAGAGGAGAGGAGAGGAGAGGACCCCTGGGCACCCACCGCCAGGGGACTCGCTGCAGGGGCGACCAGACACGGGAGGGCTCAGGCAGCGGTTCGGCAGGTGCCAGGCGACAGCCCAGGTTGCAGAGGGGCAAGTGCCGAAGAGGCGGCAGCAGGACACACGTCTGCCCAAGCCCGGCTCCGCAATGGACCTTCCCAGGCCGCAGCAGAGGCCACGGCTGGGGGCACCCGTGGTCCGTTCAGGCTTTGGCCTCTCTGCAGAGGCAGCTGCTAGTGGCGCGTGTGAGCACACGCATGGCGGGAACACCCCCGCACTGGCTGGAGGGAGGTGGTGGCGAAGAGCAGGAGCTGGCTGCTCCCGGGCCTGCCCCCTGCCCGACCGCCCGCGCAGCGCTCACCAGTCCTGCACCGCGTTGAAAGACTCCTCGTTGGTGATGTCGTACATCAGGATGAAGCCCATGGCCCCGCGATAGTAGGCGGTGGTGATTGTCCGGTACCGCTCCTGGCCCGCAGTGTCCTGGGGGTGAGACAGCGGGTCAGGGGAACACGTGGCGCCAGCAGCTCCAAGCGGCTCCAGCACTGGACCTGGCTGCCACCGATTCATCTCCCCCAGCCCTGGGAGAGGGGGGCACCGGGGCCCTGGGAAGAACCCAGAGCCAGGGCAGGACTGTGCCATGGCTCGGGGGAAGGCAGGCGAGTCCCGCAGGTGGAGGCCCCGGAGTCCCCTCTGGACACCTGGGGCAGGAGCAGGGGGCTCAGTCTTCTCAGGAGGAAAACCTGGTCTCGGGGCCAGATCCAGAGCTGCCAAGCCCCATCCCAGAACGGGCTGGGGCAAGGGGTCCCTTCCGCTCCACAAGGGGAGGGGGCTCTAGGAGAGCTGGCCCATGGGAAAGCCGTTGCCCCAGCACACAGCAGCCCTGCTCGGAGGGCTCCTCCCAGCTGCTTCTGCAGGGTGCTGCGGGGAGCTCGGTGGTCTTGGTGCACAACCTCTGTGCTACGGCTGTTGCAGGGCTGGTTTCCAGCACCCCCGCCCCGCGCCCCAGGCCTGGACCACGAGCCCGCCACAGCCCCCGGCCCCTGCGCAGCAGGGACACACACTGCCTGGCACAGAAGGGTGCAGGGCAGCTCCGGGGGACAGACCTTCCCTCTCTGGGCTGGGGTCCAGGCTTGACACCGTGGGGAGAAGGGCTGGACTGCATCTCTCCCAGTGCCAGCAGCCGCCCACGGGATGCACAGACGCTGCGGGGGCCCTGTCCCAGGCCCACAGCTCACCCAGATCTGCAGCTTGATGCGCTTGTCGTTGCGGTAGATGGTCTTGACCTTGAAGTCGATGCCGACGGTGCTGACAAAGGCGGGTGTGAAGGAGTCGTCGGCGTAGCGGAACAGGAAGGAGGTCTTGCCCACGCTGCTGTTCCCGATGATCAGGATCTTGAACATGTAGTCGAAGTTCTGGTCTGAGGACTCCTTCTGGCCATAGCGGGCGTCAGTAGCGGAAGCCATCTGGAAGCAGGCGCGAGCACGTGAGGAGGGCAGCTGCGGCTGGACCCAGGGGCCACCCAGCCCTGATGTCACAAGGAGCAGGGCGTGCGCGAAGCGCTCCCTCCCAGATCCCCCAGCCAGTGCTCTTGTTGGGCTGGGCCCAGGCCCGGAGACACGGTGCGCAGGAGCCGGGCGCCCCGCTCCACCACGGCGGGTGCCAGGAGCGGCTGACATCCACGGCTCCCTGCAACACAAGAGGCTCGTCGAGGTCACAGCTAATCCACCTCCTGGCTGGCAGCTCCTCGTGCCCCCCCCACCCTGGGAGGCTAAAGCCTTCCATTGCCAGGTTTTCCTGGATAATCCACCTCGATTCGCCTCATCCTCTTTCCATCACCTTTGCCCCCATAACTCCCCATGCCCAGCCCTCGGGCAGGCCGCCCTGCCTCTGCCCTCACGCTCTCAGGGGCGTCTTCCCCTGCCCCTCTTTGTGGAGCCGGGCTGACCGGGATGGCTCCCTCGTGTCCAGAAAGGAATGCGCAGGTAAGTAGCAGCAGGTTGAAGCCTGTGATTGCCCGCTGGCACCCCAGCAGTGGCCTCAGCTTCCCGGCCCCCAGCCCCAGCTAGAAAGGGCCGAGGAGTCCTTTCCCAAGGCCTGTCCAGGCCTGCATGTCCCCGGGATGGGGAGCTGGAGTCAGACTGCTCCAAGCACCGGCCTGGATCCCTGCAAGGGCCAGACTTATTAATGCAGCCTCGTCAGAGGTGGGGGATACATGGAGTCAGAACAGGAGCGGGGTGGGGGCTGCAGTCCAGAAACAGGGGAGCTGAGGTCTGTGCCGGCCTGGGGATGGACATCCAGCCCAGAGATGGATGGACGTCCAGGCACCAGGCAGTGGCCACAGGTGAAGGGGAACGTCTGCAAGGCAAAGCCGCCGGAGAGCTGGACTTGTGCACGCAGCCATGCGGGGCCACGCTGGCCAGACGTGTCTGCAGCAGGAGGCGCACGCTTAGCTTCAGCTCACAGGGGCCCCCACTACTGTGGCCGAGTCTCGCGGGCTCGCCGGGGACTGGAGCACCTCTGAACATCCCCAGCTGGGTTAGCTGGGACCAGCGAGCCCAGGCCCAGGGGAGACCCTGAGCCAAGGTCGGGCTGTGCTGCACAGACACACCAAATGCAGACGCACCCCCACACGCCATCCAGGGACACACTGCCACGGCACAGACACGTGCCCACCACGCTGTCCACGGACACCGCACACACGACAGGTGCACTCCTGCCACGCCATCCAGGGACACGGACACGGACACCGCGCAAACACAGACAGACACATGGACACGGCACAAACGCTCCTGCCAGGGATGCCACAGACAGCAGCCCCCGTGCGTGCTTTGCTTTGGGAGGTCCCCGGTACTCCAAGTGGAGCTGGGCCCAACCCGCGTCCCCAGAGCTGAAATGACTGCTCCGGTGAGGGGCAGCCCCGCGCCCAGGGTGCTTCTGTCCCGTGAGCACCCGCTGGAGAAGGCCTGGCAGCGAGCGGCTTCCCAGGCAGATGCAGCTCCAGCTCCAGCTCCCTCTGCGACTAGCGCCAGCCGGCAGCACGCGCAGCTGGGTCCCTGCGCCGGCAGGGCGGAGCCGTGCGACGCACCCAGAGCAGCCCCGGCGCTGCGTCACACGTGCCGTGGGCGCAGGCCAGGGACACTGGCAGCAGCCACGCGGTGCACTGATCTGGGAGCCTTTACCCCGAGGAGCCCAAGCAGCAAAGGGGGGTGGGAGGCAGCGCCGCCTGCAGGGCGGGGAGGGCAGCCCCACGCCTGCCGCAGCCCGGCCACCCGGGCCTTGGCTTCCAGAGCCTGCAGCCAGCCCAGAGCCTCCTCTGCGGGAAGAGGGGGAGGAGCAGGGAGGGAAGGTGCTGGCCCTGCCCCGGTCACCTCCCGCAGACACCCGCTCGCTGCACCG